AAAAAAAAAAACAGGCACCTGAAACAAATAACTTAAGAAACTAAAACCCATCAATTCGGCATGCAATGTGCTAGAGGAACCACAAGGAGTTTTGAAAGGAATTCAGGAAGTTTATGCTATTATCATATCATTATAAATAGATAGGCTGGCACGGTAAACATGATGAGACCACCTATTCAAACCATCTGTGCTTCTTTTCTCAGTTTCTTATATGATATCAGAACCAACCTTTAAAATTTTTCTCCTTTTCCTTCTCCATCTCCTCTACCCTAGCCTTACCCCTAACTCCCCAATAATAAGAAAAGTAAACTTTGACCAGCTAATTTTATAATTACCTTTAAATTGTTCCCTATTTTCAAAATTTAAGTTTTCCAGTATTTTTTACTACATTCATATTTTCTATATATGGCCCCAACCTATATCCTATTAAAGTTCATTATTGCCCATTACCTACACATGATGCTTCGGTATAATGAAGCCACTGGAAAAAAGTGTAGGCAAGTTATAAAAGAAGGAAAACAACAATAAACTTACTCCTTGAAACCAAATCATGCCATGAGTAGTGCAAAAATCGAAGGTGAACAATAGTTTTTGTAGGTACAACAAGTGGTTTAATCTGCAGTTTTGTAGAGATAGTGTTAATAATATGTCAGATATTCAAACCAACTTCACATGTACTTAAAAGCAGTTTACATATAACCTGCAGAAACATTTTTCCAAAGAACTCAAGATCTAGCACAATTACTTGCCTGGAGAAAGTAGGCAAATGTGAATTTGCAAACAAAGATCACCAACCAGAATAGCACATATCTGCAGCGATAAGTATTAAACTGAGAAAGTGAGAATAAAAGAAATGCAATCCCAGAAATAACAAGAGTACACATTTTAATTCACCATAACAAAAGAAAGACAGACAAGCAATTAAACATCAGTTGTGTGTACTTTTTTTTTTAGCCCATCAGTTGTTTGTACTTAACCATGACCATTTTCATAAAATAGACTTCAAAAAAACATATATAAACAAACAATAACACATTGCAAAGAAAATTTATTAGCCAAATGCAACCATGAGCACACAAGCTTTCATAAATCTAATTGAATGGACAAACCAAATTATTTAGTTACTCTCCAAGTGATGACAACAACACTAGGATGAAGAAAAAACCCTAAAACTCCTCTGTTTAGGAAAAAATCCTGAAAGAAAAAGATAGCAGACCAACTAGAGAGAAACAACTAAAAGTCAAATAATCAAATGAAACACAAAACTCCCAGCTTCCATGATGATGATTACAACCTGCAGTAATCACTTATCCTTTCATAAAGGCCACGACCAACATAGTATCTCTCCTGAAATTCACATATAACAGAAACAATTAGTCATCCCACCCTAAAGAATAGCATGCTAAGACTGAAACATAGCATACCTGATAGATCCATTTAAAAAACTGGAAAAATGTTTGATCAGACATTTCAGACAGAGCATGGCATGCAGGAAATTTTAGCAGCAATGCCAGAACCAGGCGCAAAGCCACATAAACACCCAATACAAGTATATATAGTCGAAAATATAATGAATCGGAGTTCTTGCCACTTTTTTCCTGCATAACTTTTCTGCATGTACATTTAGAGAATATCAAATAAGGTATGAACCCAACAAGTTTATCATAAGAATACAACAGACAAATACAAACAGACTTACATGTAAGCATAAGTTACAAATGCAGAACTCAAGCCACACCAAAAAAATTTTATAACCAGGCTTGAAATAGCCATGCCTCTTGCTGTGGTGTACGCCCCAAACATGAGTAGGACATCTAAACAACCTAGCTAGGCAGAAGGTGTCAAATACAAATGGTTTAAGCCTCAAACACAATAAGAAAGCAGGCAATCTACATTAGTAGAAAATAACCCCAAAAAAACAAAAAGAAAAGAAAAAGGAAAAGGAAGATGAGAAATCATAATTCACATGATAAGGGCAGGAGCTCAAGGAGATGACAACCACTTACTCTCTATAAAGTTCATAATGGTAAATGTAGGGCCAACACTTAGTATCATCTTAAAGGTAACCAAATCAATATACATATGTCTGAATGCTATAATTGTCAAAGCCTGTTTTAAACAAGGAAGAACATAAATCCTTCTCAATGATCAGAAAGTCAAATACAAGATCATATAAGAAGAGCTATCTCTGAGCAGAAAATTACCTGGAACATCAAAATCAGAAAGATCCAAAGACGATGAAAACTTCGATACAAGTGAAGAAATGTCCGGTGCTCAACAAAGGAGCTTTTACCAGTCTGACAATAAAAACAAATAAATTAGTTATGTGGTGGTAATTAACCACTGTTCAGATACATTGTAAACAAGATGATGATAGGGAACACAGAACACTCTTGCAGTCTGTTGTCAGTGGAATTAGAAAGTCATGCCAAGGCTCACTTTAACTACACACCTCTATTTTTTAACATATCCAACAGTGAGAAGCTTATTAGGAAGCTTGAATAGCTATATATAAGTTACTAGTAACTTTCTTTTTTTATCAAGAAGTAACTAGCAACTCTTTATCATTTTCTTTTTTCATTTAAGAAGTCAAATAATTTCTATTATTTAAATTATCTTGGAACTTTGGAATTTTGGGTATTCTTGTAGTTTCAAGGTTACAATAATTGAGGTCATGCAATAGTTTGCTCAATCCAGCTTTCATTTTGTTTTATTTTCTTTTAGTGGGCCTCTTTATTTGAGGCCCAAGAACAGTTTAGTATTCCAATAACATACTCAAGTACCCACCCCTCAATGGGCAGGTTTAAAAGTATTAACTTCTTATAAAAGTCGCATATATTATAAACAAAAAAATAGGTATCAGCCTGTATTGCAAAAAACTTAGGCAGAAAAATATCCCAAAATTATGTCATTTTAATAAAGTCTCATTGAAAATGACTAAAATATCTTAATTTTTAAGCTAGGAATGAGGTTCTTTTAGACTTTTCTTGTGGTGTTTTATTAAAGCATCATAGTTTTAGAGAATTTTTCAACCTAATTTTTCACAATACAAACTGATAGCCACCAATCTCTATTATTAATAATAAGCTATCAATTAATTGAGTAAATAAATATATTTTTTTGGGCCAACAACTAATAAATAAAATTATTTATGGTGAATTTGAATGTTTCTGCAACTCTACAAGGAGAGCACCAAAGTAACCAAAAAAACTTTTTTAACTTTTTTTATTAACTAATCAATAGTTATAGCTAAAGAATAATGAATAGTAAATAAAGCATTTCAGTGTTAGATTTATAAGATTAGGGCTTTTTTTATAAAAATATGGAGCAGGACATAAATTACTTTTCTTGAAAAATCGAGGGCTTATAAAGGAATTTGCCAAATAAAATTAGAATGCGGAAAAATAAAAAGGAAGCATCAGCACATTTGTGCAGTTCAAAATGTGTCCAATGAAAATAAAACCAGAGAAAGGTAAATCATTACAAAAAAAAAAAAAGCATCAAATCAAAACCAAATGATTACAGTCCCAAAGATTTAGCTAAATTTGTACTTACCTCCCAAAAAAAACTTTCTACTAGGAAAAATATTTCCCATTAGTATTTTTTACTTAAAACTAATACGCTGAGAGATCATCTTCAAAATGATTATAGTAAACTACATACAATAATTAGTAAATTACCCCACTGATCTATTTATTTACTGTTGGAAGCAATTGACCTTCAGTTTGTCAAACAATATGTTGCAAATAGCCAAATACCCCTATTCATTACTGTTTACTCCATGAGCTCCAGAAATAGCAACAGATAAAACTACACTTCTCACTTATCTAGCTGCTCTTCTAGGAGCACCAGATCACAAGCTCTTACCAGAGCACCAATCTGATCCTCCAGCCAGCAGAGAGGAGAGAAATGGGTAAGAAATTGAAATGGGAAAGAGAACAAGGTAAATAATCTTAATCCATAAAGACAGTCAATACATCTAATCATCCATCAAAAAGGCAATAAGACATGAATTTGTTGAGAGTTTAAACCTAATTCAAAATACTGAAAATCAATAACCAATCAGATCTAAAAAAGAGGTCCAAAAGTAGGGAGATGAGAGGTGGTTATTATGTCCAAAGTGATGTCATCATAAGAGGAGAGAAAATGGAATAATTGGGAGAGGAATAAAGGAAGGAGGCATTCAAGGGAGAAACAGGGGGACGAAAGGTGCAAGAATAGTCAAATTCATTGCATGCAGAGGTGAGAAGGAATGGTGCTTCTGATATGAAATTAGAGAGCAAACAAGAAGCAAAGGTGGAGAACCTATCTCATTTCTGGCAATCAAATAAAGGGGAATAAATTGGGCCAAAGCACCATATTATCCAGGAAACTCTAAGAAACTAAAGTGCAGATGGCCGACAAAAACTTGAGCTTTGTTTGGTAGTTAGTAGCTGATCCTTTGTACTATTCACACTTCCAGTCTTTCTCAAGTTTTCAAGTAGTTTGTAGCTTGGAAATTATCTATCATTCAAGAAATTTGGAAGGATTAAAAATCGAAACAAATAGTAATTACTGCAAAAATGAATAACCAAACTAACCCTCTTCGACTTTTTAGGCTTCAACAGAAATGAAGAATCACTTCGCATGGGCCAGCGCAACTCAAAGCATGCAGGTGACCTTCATGTAGATTATAAATTAGAACAATGATGAACATGATAAGCAAAACTTCTATAGAAAACGGTTTCATTAAAGAAACAAACCAGAAGTATTCATTGAAGTCATCATAATTCCGCCAGGCTGAATGTGCAGCTTTCCCATTACTGTTTCTATCAGCCTCCTATATAAATAACAACAAAATAAAATTAAGATCTGCTGACAGAAGCAATTGAAATATCTATGTCATGGAGCATACCACCTACAACCAGACCTAAATAGCTAGAGAGAAGAATTTATTTATAAGTCCACAAATCAATGTGGGGTTTTCCCACTTAACATTAAATCATTATCTGGCTGACTATCTTCCTTGAATTAGGTAAATGACTTATCAAAAATACAAGGGCGATGCAATAACACTCAGTGCATAAATCCTATGAACTAACATTATTGAAAGAAGCAAAGGGTTTATGAGACCAAAGAAATCACTACCTCGCTTCTTCAAATCAGGTAAAGGACTTTTGCAGAGTATGTGTGATGTTATTATACTAGCAAGCAAAATCAATGATTAATTCTTGGATAGGGACAGCATTAGTTTCAAGAATGAATGATCCAAATAATAAGAATAACAATAATGATAATATAAAAAAAAAATTTACAAAAATTGATGGAAGAATAACAATAAAAAGCACAAGTAATAATTTAATCAAGAACTTGCCCAAAAAGCACAAGTCTGCAGACCAAATATGAATTACCCTCAACACTCAGATAGGACACCCATCTGGTCTCCAACCATTCTCCCTTTCTTTGGAGTAATAATTTAATCATCCAGAGTAATAATTTAATTTCACTTATAATCTTAACTAATTAAACATAATTTTAATGCGGTGTAAGGGTATTTGAGCTATTCAAATAATTGAAGGGCTGATAGCCCAGAAAAATATAGGGCTAAACTGTCCCTAAAATGATACAAGAGCTTAATTGACAATTTGAGAAAAAGAACAGGTACTAAAATGGGGTTTTCTCCATGATTAAACTCCATCAAGCCTTAGTCACACAAGAAAAAAAATAAAACACAATTAAAGCAAATGTTTAAGAGAGAAAATGACCGCTGCCATTGTGTCATATATAGGACGAATGATTTTCTCAAGGAAGGATGGAGAACCACTAGCATTTCTGCAGCTGGGAGCAGGGACGGCTTCTCCATGATCCAATGTTGCATCCAGCTCTTTTGCCATCTGTATAACAGCAATTAATATCATTTCAAAAATGACAAATTTTTTTTTTAAATGTATATTAGTGACTATAAAATCATAACCAAAAAAATATCTTTCTACCATCATTTTAACACACCCAAATCCCGTAAAAACAAAAAGACAAACTCTCTTGTAGATTTCTCAACTCAAGAAAAGAGAACAGAACTGACATACAGGCACATAACGATGAATGAGGTGATCTCATTGCATATTCAAGGACAGTAAAAAGGAGAGTAATTACAACCATTAATTTAAGTTGGTAGGCAATGAAAACCACTTCAATACAACGTGCAATCATATAGTTTCTTATCAAAGAAACAGAATTATATTTATATTAGTTCTAAAGTAATAGTAAAGAGATAAAATGCAAAGATCACATTGACAGAGAGCCGGAGGTTTACATGGTGGAATAGATAGCAAATGCATTCTGGAAGAAATCGGACATTCGCAGCTTCACCCCATATAAGAAAGTACAATGAAATCAAAAAAAGCTTCCTTTCCCTATTAATTGCTTCCAAACTGCAAGAAACAAATAAGTTGAATTAGTGACATGGAGTGAAAGTCAGAAAGAAAGCCTTATGGAATAATATCAGGTTGAAAAACTGACCTATTATATGCAAGCCGTATCCGTAAGTACTTGCACCATTTAATATAGTTATCTAGCACCTTTGAGAATACGTCATTAATTGGTTTCTCATCTATTTTCTGGATATCAAAAAAAAAGAAAAAAAAAAATTGAAGACTTGGTCAGCTAACAAACATCAACTTTAGATTCCCAGCTATAAATTATAGGAAAGCATGCAGAGAATCTAAACTTGTCCTATATAGAGAATAAAGGAACACATTCATTTGTTTATTTTTCCATTTGTTTAACATCCTTCCTACAAACTTCATTTGAAAACATTCAAACAAGCAAACATGAACAAACTTGAATACTTGTTTTAAAATCAAGTTGAGCGTAAACTTTATTGGCTTGTTTATTCTGTAACTTGAATACTTGATTTTAAAATCAACATCAATCTGGATTAGCAGAGATACAACAGAACAAAATTAAGATCAAGCCATCCTGTAGCTCAAACTTTGGTAACATTTATGTATATTTACAAGTTATTAGCTCAACCAATTCTGGTAAAAAGGTTGATTCATTGGTGAGTCCAGTTGCGAATGCCTCTTGCATTGAAACACATACCAATAAAGTTTAGTTTCAAATTCTAATGAAACTAAGCATAAGCAGCCAATTAACAAATGTTGAGGGCTGAATGGGATGCTACCAACAAAATTAATGGATAACAGTTGAATGAATGAAGCTATCAAAGAAGGTAATAGAGCAGGTAAATAACAACACATATCATCTAAAGCACTTACTGGATCAGCCTGAGCAGGCTCTACTTGATCAGCCTGAGCAGGCTTCTCACGTCGAGACTGTGCATTTGCGATAGCAAGAACAACATTCTCACGCTGGTTTCTCACATTGTCTTTCTGACAAAAGGAAAAAATAAGAGTAAATATCAGAAAAGAAATTAAAAAGGTTCTGGAAAGGAACCTTTTATGCGCCAGTCACAAAGGTCACAGGGAGGATGGAATGAGAGAATGTTATAACACAAGATTATGTATATTTCACCAACATAAAATTCATAAATAAAGAAAATTTAACTTGCAATAAATTATCAACCCACTAGTTTTCTGTACATATTTCTGACTGAAGACAAATTAATAGTGGATACGAACAATCTTTATCAAAAAAACACATCCATAATTTGGATAGGAATAGCCAATCACTAATAACTAAAACTCTTGTTTAGAATGGTCATAGATTTTTTTTTTGTTTTGGATGCCAAAATTTGAACAATCAAAATTAGCAATTGAAAATCAAAATTAAAAATTTAAAAAGCCAACTTATTAAGCATAGAGAAAACTGTTTTACAGGGCGGACTGTACTTAAATGCCCTTATATTTATTTTTATATTATTTTTTCAGGGGCATTTAAATAATTTTACAGGGCCGACTGCATAAAACAATTTTCAGTTAAGCATAAATTTTTAAAACTAATATCCAAAACTGAAAACCTAATTAATATTTATAAAACTTGTTAACTTTATCAGAGGGTTTCCAAATTTTTAAAATGAAAACCAAAAACCACAAACCACAACCATGCTAAGCAAAGCCTAAGCAAAGCCTAAGCAAATAGCTAGCCGTTTATGTCCTGATCTGACCACTATGCTAATATATTAGGTTAGAATGGTCAAAATATAAATAAAATGCATCAATGCAACTTATGAACCACTAAACTTATAATCTGAGAGGATGAAGGAAATAGGTGTGAATACCAAGTTTTCTTAGTTATGAACACATGCAAAAAGCCAAAATAATTAAATTACATATAGAACTAAATCCTACATCTACTGTAATTTTTACCAACATGTAATTTATAAACAAATATATACATACAAAGAGATTCTGCAAACAAACCTGGAAACCAAAAACATATTCCAAAAGATCAAACATGTCTGCATCCCGTTGTCCTGAAACCTCAAAATCAGCAGGAAGCCTAGGAAAGTGTTCAGCATATCTAATTGCTGACATTGCACCTCTAACCTGGAAATTTTACCCAGTTGAGAGAAACTCTCATCAACACACATTTGTCCAACAGAAAAGAGCAGTGAACAACCAGGCCAGAGGCTGGGAAAAGCAAACTTTTAAGAATGTGTTTTTCTTTGAAAAACATACATTTAAGGGGAAAACACTACAAATCCACATGCCTATTAGATCAATTATATGCTAAACATAAATTACCCACGATTCTAAAGAAAGTGGTTAGAAAAAGGATGCAAATTATTGGAATGAAGGCTAAACTTACTTCAGGGAAAACTCCAATAACATTTGTAAATGATGGTGCTTCCAAGGGGACAATATTGTATGGTGTCAGTTCCCCAGATATGGTTGCATCAGCCTTTCTGATTCCATGCAACTAAAGAACCAAAAGGAAAAATAGAAGCACATGATGGATTATAGAGGAAAAGGCACCAAAAGTATTGGTACAAAAAAAATTGAGGAAAAGTTCAAACAAGTCCTAACAAGAAAGAAATTTACAACATCAGTCCTAAACAAAGCAATCAAGAAACATTTTAATGGATTATAGAACAAAATGCAGATGCACCATTATAACATTAAGTCCAACCAAGTTATACTAAACTAGTTGGCTAGGCTTGTTTGAAAATAATAAATAAAAATAAAAAACAAGAACTAAAAACATAAAACCCAAAACTAACAAATGATAAAGAAAATAATCTCTCCAACACTATGTCTACCTAGTTTAGGGTCTGAACAGATAAAAAGTGGATTCCGACCAATCCAACGGAGAGTTTTGGACAATTCACAAAATCAAGTATGATTTGTTAAAGCAAAAATAAAAAGTCAAACTTCGTGGGCTGAACTACATTTTCCAAGACTAAAGTGGAAGGTGACATTAAAGTGGTTGAGAAGATCTACATATCAAGAACTTGAAATTGAAACTGAAACAGTCCAACTCGCCATCTTTTGAACTTGAGCAACCTTTCAGTATCTTCAGCAAGTTCCTCTCAAGTCAAATCATTTCGAGCATTAAGATTGATTTTTACTAATGACCTTGAGAGATTTTTAGTGAGTTTATTTGTCTAGCGTATTTGCTTTGTACACATAAAAGGATATTTGTATTCATCTTGGGATTGGGTATAGCCCTTGAAGGCATTGAAAAGTTGAATGATTTCATGAAATCAATTGTAGGGGTTTAATCTTGCACCTATGCAGCAAGAGGTTGTAACGGTTTAATCATGCATGGTTTAATCTTGCAGCCATGAAGCAAGAACATGTAGTGAATCAAACTCTCAAGCAAGGAAACTTGAGTAGTGGATGTACGAACAGGAACATTGTTGAACAACCCGTTATTTCCATGCTTTATGTTTTTTCTCAATTTATTTGCATTGTGGTTTGCATTTAAATTAGCTAGAAACTGAGTTTGTAAAACACTTAGAAAAATTTTAATACGCAATTCAGTCCTTTGTCAGTAGCCACAGAGGACCTTTAGAATAGCCATCAAAATATAAAGAGTGGAGGTTAGTCAATTTAAAATATTCAAATGCAACTCCAATTTTTAAATTAGCATGTGCACACTTTCTTTTCAACCTTCCCCATTCAAGACACCTATTACAAATGGATTCAATGTTTCTAATAATATGACTGGTACACATCAATTTTCTAAATCTATATTGCTTTATATTCATTACAAGGGAGAAAGGAAGGATCATATTGTAAAAATAGATTATTCACTAATAAAAAATAAGACTACAAGAAAAATTAAATGCGAGTGGGAAGACAAGCTCAATGAGAGGACCAACTTGATTATTTATTGAAATTAATTTAAATAAACTTGCTAAGTGCAGCAAGTTATAATTTTTAGTTTGAATTGATGTAGAATGCATGTGTTGGGGTATCACTTGTACTCGTTTAATTAAAAGTTTACTTTGCCAAAAAAATAGAATAACTACATAAAACTATTAGTCAATCCCAGGACTATTAATGGATCTATTTACACTAATTACACCTTGTACCCCTTATAATATAATTTTATCTTGTTTGCTGATCAAAGAAAAAAAATTTACACATATTATCCCACTAGAATGATTTCATTTGGATGACAGGACAAGGATCAATGTTGGACATTTTCCAAGAATGAAAATCCAATATGGTCGGTAAATCTTTTGCGAGGTAAGAGTGAGTTTGTTTTGAGAAAGGTTTTCCACCCTCACTTTGGAAAGTTGCCAGCCAAACTCCCCCAGTGGGATGTCAACTTTTACCAAACATGGAAAGTTATCTATTTAACAAAACTTTCTCACAAAAGTTACACCTATTCAACAAAACTTTCTCACAAAAGTTACACCTATTCAACAAAACTTTCTCACTTACCTAAGCAAAACTTTCCCTAGGAAAAAATGTTCCCCAAACAAACACGCCCTAAGAGTATATTTGGTTGCACCCTAAGAGTATGTTTGGTTGCAGAAAACATTTTCCATTTGCATTTGCATCTCTAGGAAAAAAATTCCCTTCTCTATTCTTTAACTTCTGAGAATGCATTTGGCAAATGCATAAAGACTACATAAAGAATACAATTTTCAAAGAATTTTGACAGGAAAAGATGAAGAACATAAAGATCTATTCTCCTATTTATTGATTAATCAAGAATACATTTTCTCAAAAATCAATTTTCACTTCCCAATGCCAAACATGTTTTCTTTCATGGCTTCTGTTTCAACAGAAAGAGAAAAGAAACAAGCCTGTTTCAACAACAAACAGAAAGATGTATGATGTGCTTCTACAGCACATTCAATAGTAGGTAAAAGCTAATTACCTCCTCCATAATGAGTCCCCCAACGCCACCTGGATCTGCATCTTTGCTAAGTGCTTCCATCACCTCCACTAGTGCCCTCAACGTAGCAAGTACCTTTTTCATTTCTAAAGCACTAGAGAAGATGCCACAAAAAATATTTTACAATGGCTACAATAATAACACAAATAACACTTAAATTAAAAAAAAAAAGAAGAGAGGAAGGTAACAATGTAAGCACGTCATACATCATCTTTGGTTTAGCATTCCAATCTATATTTAAGAGGGAGCCAAACTTCCACATTACCATTGAACAGGATGTCAATGCCAAAAGGCTGGGATAATATATGTTAATAATACTTGTAGAAATACATTTTAAACCTTCTTGTTCACTTATTGCATGGACTAAACTTGATGAGAAGTCACTGTTTAAACCCAATCCATAAATAGAATAACATGCTTAACTGACTTAGCTCTTGATCAATGGTTTAACCAAAGGAACAGTTTTCCAAATTTTCCACTAGCTTGTTTTCGATCAACCAAAACTGAGTTCTATGGAGCAAATCTTTAACATTCACACCAAAAATCTAAAATACAGTGGACAATTTCCAAAAATAGTTACCACTAAATACACAGAGCTTTAGTAATCAATGATTCTGAAAACATTGGGTGCACGTGAATAAATTAATGATCGTGAAAACATTGCATGCACGTGAATAAATTAATGATCCTGAAAACATTTGGGTGCATATGAATAAATTAATCATCCTAAAATTGTTGGCTGCACATGAATGAATTAATCATCCTAAAATTGTTGGCTGCACATGAATGAATAAATTGATGATCCTGAAAACACTGGGTTCACATGATTAAATTAATGACTGAAAACATTGGGTGCCATGTATAAATTAAGTCACGAGTAAAATAGTAAAGAATTAAAAATTGGACATACTCTCCCAGGTTTACAGAAAAAGTTCCAGATTCTCGCCATTTTTGTTCCTCCCTTTCAATATCATCTACTTTATGCCGTCTCTTATAAAGCTCGTAGAATTTCCACAAACGTTCAATATCACGACCACGATCTATTCGAGCACCATCCCTTTTTGCTAGTTTTTGCTGCAGCAACCAATCAACTCAAACCTCAATTGAAAACTTTGACAAAATGAGCAAACTCTGAAATGAATGGAAATGATATATATATATATACAACTATTAGACTTTATATGCAATAAATAATAGTAAAATACAAAAGACAAGGCAGCAGCATTGAGCTATTAGTGTATGCTAGTATGGTAAGAAGACAAGCATAATGTAATATACCATTATCAGGTAAAATGCATTTTGCCCCACATGGTTAGGGGTGATTGCACTCAACACCTTGTGATGTAAAAAGGTGAACTTAACCCCTTTGGTTTACTCTATTAGATCTGGTGCTTACTTAATAACCCAGTGCTCAGGTGAATAGAAGGGGAAAGAAAGGGGAAAAACAACAACAGCAACACAGTGAGTACTTTTCCCCATGTTGATATCAGCCATATTTTCCGTCAATCGAACATGGCAGCTGATGCAATGGCTAGACTGGGACATGGACTTCACCAAGATTTTTTTATTTTCACTCACTGTCCCCATACTGTCAAATTATTTTGTATCTTGGATATTATGGGGTTTAAATTCCCCAGACCTTAGCTGTATGTTTCTCTTTTTAATCTATTAATATATCTCCTATTTCTACCAAAAAAAAAAAAAAACACAGTGAGTACTTATCTATGTTGTTTGGTCAAAGATCTAACTGAAAATTGGTGTAACACATCAACCAGCACTAACAATGAATACAATCAAAGAAATCTAAACTGAAAGTTGGTGTTTCATAGCCAACTTTCAGAAGCTTCCAAAATGGATTATGATCATTGAACAGCACTAACAATGGATGTTATCACCTTGCATTCTCAGAGCAAAAGTTAGTGGAACCTATCAAATCCCACAAACTTGGCTATATTGATTCTCTTATGAGAGTAGTATTTGTCAATTGCAACTGAAAAAAAAAAAAAAATTGCAGTCCCTAACCCCAAGACTACTTTGTTTTAGTAAACACTCTTCAACCCTCATCATAAAACTTGAGAGGGAATTGAATAATTGTTAATGAAACAACATGGTTTTGACCTAAGGGACTGTAAATTTCTTTTCAGTCACTACTGATAAACACTTTTCTCTTATATTGCAATAATTGGCAATTTTCATCACTTTCACCCAGAAAGAGAAGGAAAACAGAGAGCTTGCTGAGTTGCAAAGTGCAAACTCAAGGAAGTTAAGAGATTCTGAGAATTCTGCAAATTCAAGTGCATAGATTGTTTGTGGTGAGTGTGGGTTATAGTTCCATGGCTAAAAACTCAATTAAAACAATTTAACAAAATTACACATTAAAAATGAAATTGACATAGATTAAT